ATCAGGGACCCCTGGGGCAGAGCAGGTGGGGTCCTGCCGGGTTGGTCCCGCAGCGCTGTCCTTTGGCGCTGCGGGACCAATCCGGCAGCACTCCAGCTGCTCTGCCCCAGGTGTCCCCAAGAACAGCTGGGGTGCTGCCGGGTTGGTCCCGCAGCCCCGAGAGGCAGCGCTACGAGACCAACCCGGCAGCACTCCAGCTGCTCTGCTCCCGGCTTCCCCGATTCAGCTGCTGGTCAGTTTCAGCAGCAGCTGAATGGGGGAAGCCTGTCCGGCTGCCTGAGCACTTCCGGGTTCCTGATGATGCCGGACCATCAGGAGTCCCGGAGCATTGGATGCCAGACTAATGGAGTTTTACTGTATTCTGAATTTTGATGTAGTTTGGCTCTTTGGTTTGAAAAGGTTGACACTCCTGTCCTAAAGGCTGACAAATGGGCTATAACACACTGTAAGGATGAGTGAATTTCAAACCCACGTGCCCTTTACTTAGACTAAGTCTATAATACGGGTGCTACAGAGCCACAGCTATGAGCATGCCACTTAGTGGAAACACTTCCTACAGTGACAGAAGGGGCTTATCCATTTCAGTAGATAATCGAACTCTCTAGTGGTGAGAGGTAAATGAAAGAGCTGCAACGAAGTCCTGAGCACCATAGTTATTTTGATGTAACTTTTAAATGTAGACCAGATCTGAGACTGTTTTGCCACCTAGTCTCAGGAATTCAAGCTTGGGGATAGATAACAGGACTGTACAATAATAATAGCAGGGAGAAGGTAGAGAGGACAGGGCAGGATGTCACTTTCATAAGCAGTAAATTAATACACAAGATTAAACGGTATGGAGAGCATTTTTCCCATGCCCTATGGTAATGCCATTATATTCAAACTCATCACGGTTTAATATAATTTCAACACCAATCAAGTGCTGGGAATTATCTGTAAAGTAACGCATATAAAATACCTTATCTGAGCTGGCTCTCTGTTGAAATGCCAGCAGAATCCTCAGTTATGATATGAGATCTCTAAATCTGCCACTACAGCTCTAATCATTACTCATAAGAGATTTGTGCTTGTACAAAAGTCAGATAAGGGTTGGGGCATGATGCAGTGTTCTATATTAGAGAAGACTGCTAGGGTGACAGAATAAAGACTATGTTAATTTTATGATATACAACTAGCTATCCTATTAGATTATAAGAACCATCACCAGACTCTGTAATATCCATGTTGTATCTTTCATATAAGTGTCACTGCATTTGACTGAATATGTAAAGCTTAATTTAAAAACATTGCAGTTTCTAAATAGTGAAACTGGGTATTTTTCTTGTATTATTTTTATGTTCAGCTATAAAAACTAAGACGCTGAAGTCACCCTGAAAGTTTTATGGTTTGTAGGTTTTTAACAATAAATTGTAAGATCATTTCATGGCATCTGTTAGAGAGTATGCAGCTAAGCCCAGTTGATTAACACTCTAAGCTTTAATTTTGAGTCATTATCACACTGGAAGTGTACATTTCATGTCAGGCAATAAAAATCCTTTTTGTTCACCTGCCTCCTGGATGGCATTATTACTAGACCCTGCAACTTGTCTCCAAAATAGTTTTTTTTAGTAGCATTAGAAAGCAAAACTCAAACCTGTGGCCTGCAAACTCCATTGACATCAGCGGGAAAGGAGTATGCAAAAAGGTTGTATCCTCAGCAAGCAGAACGCAATACTTTAATTCAAGTTACACTAAACTAATCTTAATTACCAGTATTCCAAAGTCAATGTAGAAAAAAACAATATTTGCTTATTCCTAGTTAATTATATCAAATATATCATTAATAAAAATTAGTAGCTCTCGTCTGTAAATCCCAAAGCCCTTTAAGAAGTAGGATATACAAATGCCATTTTAAACTATGAGGAAACTGAGGCATGGAGAAACAAAATGGTTTGTTGAAGGTCACACACGAGATCACATCAGAGCCAAGAACACAAGACAGTTCTTCTGACAGCCAGGGGTTAACAGTTTAATTTCAGTAGGGCTGCTTGGCTAGGTGGTGTTGTGATAACACGGGACTGCATAACTCTACAGCTTTCAGCTAGGTGTTCATGGAAGTAGCTACTTCCAGAACCAAAACCTCTGTATAACTGAGAATAACCCTTAGGAATAAATTAGCAAGGCAAGAAATTTCAGACTTCTCACATAAGCCACTAACTAAGATTCAAACTAAGGCCACAACCCTCCAAATACTAACACGTGTGATTAATCTAAGCACTTGTGCAATCCCATAGACTTCAGTAGGACAACTCATGAACACAATATTAAACACACATAAAAGTATTTGCAGAATCTGGATTAGGATTATTGACAGCATACAGTGGGTGTGCTTATAGTAAAATCCAGTCCTAGTGAAGTCAATTGAACTGTTTCCATTGACTTCAATGAGAGCTGGATGAGGCCCCAGGAAAGGAAACTGTTGCAGGGACCCAGGTAGCATTAAATGTTTAGTTGTCTGATTTGTAATAGCTTAGTTTGTCCACACAGCAACTCTGCCTGAGAGAACTGAAATTCATCTCCAAAGGGCCTCAGAGAGATTTCACTGTTTGAAATTCCCATTATTTTTCATACCTTCTACTTGGAAGAAGAGTTTAGGAAATAGATCTTCTACTAATATTTTCCATTACCTTTGCCAGATTTTGTTTCTATTTATTATGGGGCAAACAATAATGTGGTTTCCTTATTATGCACTTGTCTCACTGGCTATCGCAGCAGAGTTCCACAAAAAGGATTGATTGGTAAGCTCCCATTCCCTTCCCTTAACTGGTACTGCAACAAAGCATGCCACTGAGAGGTGGATACACAAACAGTGATTATTATATTATTCTTGGGAACAAAGAATTGAATTAGGGTGGGATTTTCAATAGGAGCTAAGTCAACAGTCTGAAACTCATGGCAAATGGGCCACATATGGCCCAAGCAATTCCACAATCCACCCCATACACTTCTGTTGTCATGTCAGTCCCTGTGGCCCGGGGAGGAGACAGGGTGTCGGTATCCTTCCTCCAAGCCCAGCCCCTGCTCTGCCCCTACCTCACCTCTAGCCCTGCTCCCCCTTCTCTCCCCATTGCACCCCTTCCCTCAAGCCCTCTCCCCTGAGGCACGTGGCCTTGGGGATTACCGGGTGCCTGGTAGCAGCAACAGGGGCCAGCCTTCGCACACTTACCTCAGCAGCAGGATCTGTAGGAAAGCAAAGCAACACAGCAGCCTCTGCTCCATTCTCTTGCCGTCTCCCAGGCCAGTCTGGTCACTCTACTTCACCACTCTGCACACACCTCCCCCAGGCCACATGGATGTGCCGGCAGCAGCACGGAGCTAGCAGCTGAAAGCTGCTCTAGCCCTGCTTTGCTGCCGGTGGTGGCGGCTGGGGCTGACACGCAGGGTGTGGGGGAGAGAAGTGTGTGAGCTGGCAGGCGGGGCCAGGAAACATGTGGGTGGAGGAATGCGCAGAGACCCCGCCCACACTTGCCTCCTGAGTTCTGCCAGAGAGGAGTGACCACTGGTCTGGTAGGAGGATTTGAACACTGGCACTGGCCTAAAAGTAAATTGAGTTTGAAATCCCACTGACTTAAGTGGTTTAGGAGCACTAGGCTCACCTACTTTTTAATGGGATTTGTGCACGTAAATCACTTTGCTGCTTTAGAAAATTTCGTCTTTAATCCTATAAATAAAGATTTAGAAAAATAAAGGATTTCCTCCTCAGTTTCATTATTTTAAACTAAACTAAAATTAACATTTGAACTACTTGACAGCATCACTTTCTCTGAGATGCACATTTATGATATCCTTCCACAACTGTCTGCAATGGCTAGACAAAAAACAATACCTATTTTAATGTGTTTATTTCCTTTGTATACAAGCCATTCATACACCTCATCACTGATGCACAGGGTGTCATATTTAATACAGAGATCAGCTATTACTTGGAGTTCTTCTTTGGTAAATACCTAGAAGACACACACACACAAAAAGGGTCAATGCATTAATCAGCGTACTTAAGATACACTCTGGAATTACAACTATTATGTTAAACTAGAATGGAAGTCTTACCTTGCCAATAGGGTTATGTGGGGTATTCAGTATAATAGCTTTTGTTCTGGAATTAAATTTTCTTGCAAGTTCAGTGGGATCTAAGATCCAATCAGCACTAGATGCAGAGTTCCCAATAGCAGTTTTCTATAATAGGAATAAATGTCTGTATTACTTAAGTGCAACACGGAGGATAGCCCAGACCATATCTTTCCCCATGGAAAGCCCACAAGAAGACCAGTGAGGAAACTATTTGTGCCCTTGAGGTTATGGAGTTTCTGCTGCAATATTTAGTCAAGAGGAGAAAGCTTCAAGCCAATCAGGGAGCATGTTCTGTCTAAATGTTATAGTTACACATTATAGTTATACATTATAGTGCATGAACCTAGACAGACAGGAAATTATAGCTGTCTAGAAATTCACAAGGAAATCACATCACATTCAAGGCATTCTTGGAGAGTAAGTGCATCCATGAGGCTAACCAAGCACTACACAGAATTTCCTGGGACTTCTGTCTCCAATGGGGAAAAAGTCCTGATGTTATAAGCCTCCATGTCCATGCTGACCCAAGAGCTCCCTCATCTAGGTTTTGAAGAGCTGGAGTTCACCTATGTTCATGATGATGGGGTCAATGTTTCTAACATAGGGAAATTCCTGCAAATCTTCAGGGAAGTTATGTAACGAATGCTACCGAACAGTTATCCCCAATTCTGCCTCCCACAAAACTGAAGGAGCTCAACTGCACAGAGTGCAGGCACATTGCCTTCCTCAGAGTGGAAGCTTAATACTAGGTTTCTTCAATACTCATCCCTCTAGATTTTTGCTCCAAAGAACAAACATTTTCTTATTATTTCGTTACAACTAATTAGCAGTTTCTTTCAAATTTCCGTGGTGTTGCTTTTTGAAAATCAACCACAGAGAAATTGCTTATCTACATAACTGAACAGTCATTTCACTTTCTGTTGTAAATGGAAGACCATTCCCAATGCAGTAGGGAGTTTTTGGAATAGAAACCATATCCCATCACTTCACAAGCTGCTGAACAGGATCAGAAACCAATCCTTTAAAATAACAAATACACAAACTGTATGAGCATGTGATCACCCGCCTGTTATTCTGTGTTTTAAAACTTTTCTAATGATCTCAAACAAAAAGACTTCAGGAACTTTCAGCATGCATAAATTGAATTAAATGGGAAACAGTGCCCTACTCTACACAAGATTTAGAGGATACTATGTCTATAACACTTGGAATAGCATCACATCTGAGCCTTATTCTGTTGCAGTTTTTTCTCATTTATTATATAGTTGAACGTTAAGAGAAACTAGGTGTGGATCATTTCCTATAATGTGATTATCAAATGTTATTCTCAAAAGAATTCTGCATTCTATGTTTAACAACAATAAATTTAAAAAAAAACACATACATTTCTTAATGGGATAAAAACAGGTTTTGCTCCTGCCATCTTCACCATTGGTACGTAGCAGTCAAAAAATGGCTCTATTATAACCACCTGAAATTAAAACATGTAGTCAGAAAGACCCAGAACTGAGAAAATATTATGTTTAGTAACACTGTATTACTTTCTTCAGATTTATTTTGGCCATAAGGATTTACTGTGTACCTAAGAGTATTCCACTCTGCTTTAACTGATGCAAATTTTTCATCATCTTAGGACATTATGTGGCAATGATAATAATTAGAAGACATAGACAACATATATTGGGAGTTCTTCAGAGATTAGACATGGATAGTTCTCATGTTACGCACTACAGTTGCGACTAGCATATAATGTTAGAAGTCCTTAAGAAGAGAGACAAAAAAGATATTAAAAAGTGGAGAGAGGAGTCAAAAGATTTAATGAATAATGGCAAAAGATTAAGGTAATGAGAAGACTCAAAGAATGACAGAGGCAAAAAGAGAGAGAAGATCAAAGCAACAGGGAAGGGAGAGAAAACAGATGAGGACACTAAACAGTAATCCTAAGAAAAGGAAAAAAGCTAATGTTCCACATCAGAAAAAGCACATATCAGGGCCTCCCAAACACTGCTTCTCAAAAAGCCATTGCAAGTATCTGGCAGCAGTGGGAAACAAGGCAATACTGAAAGGATAAATCATCAGAGCTAACACATGAAACCAAATACTGGGTATGATACCTACTTTACTTTAAAAATGTGTATACTTTTTTTCACCTTCACATTGATACCATATAATAGTCTGAAGCAAAATCTGAATTATGATGGCTATTCAGACACTGAAAACAGATTGATACCCTGTGCCATACTCAGATTCTTGATACAGACAGCAGTCCACAAAAAGTATGAAATAGAAATCGGTAAAGTAGTAACGGCTACCGTGATGTGAAAGCTATGACAATTATAACAAATAGGAGAGAAAGCTTGTGTGTTGATGACTGGAATAGAAGCATCCATGAGATGGTCTCCTTACTGAAATATGGCCTAGTCTCTGAAAAAGTTTGCCGGCCCCATATCTACAAGACAGGGCTCTTAAGTGTTTGATATAGGCCAAATAGATAAACCTGTAATATATATATTTAAAAAACCATAAAAACCAAACCATCAACATAATTAATTTTATTTTGGTAGCTACAATAAAATACTTCAGATAAAGCTTACTTCATCTCCTTCTTCAATTAATCCCTGGATTGCACTAAACAGAGATCCATATCCTCCCACTGTGACCAAGATGTCTGTGTAAGGGTCAATTTTCCTTCCACAAACCCTCTCATATATCTGGGACAAGGTTTTCACCAGCAGTGGATGGCCCTGTTCAAAATAAAGAAAAACACATTTGGATGCATGCACTGTATATTAAGTAACAGGTAAGGAGATAATCTATCTACACACAGGTACATGCTTTCTCTCTCAATAAACGGAAATAACTGCGGGCAGAACTACTAACAGTTAGGAGTTTTCTGGTATGACTTAGATGAAATATTCTGTTGGGCTGGATTAAGAAAGGGATTTTAGGGCCTGGAACCCGGGGCCCCTGGCTAAGAGAGGTCCCCTTAACCTAGGGTTGCAGCCCGTAAAGCCCGTGTGTTCTGGGCCAAGCCTTCCTGCCGACTCAGGGGGAGGCTGCTCTGCGTGCTGACGTTCTGCCCCTCCCCCTTACCATGGGCTGAAGCCATGTTGCCAGGAGCAATGGAAACTGATGAAGGGCTGCTCTCGCATGGAGGCTCAACACTCCCATTTGCTAGGAATCATGGCCAATTGGAGCTGTGGGGGGTGGTGTCTACAGGTGACTATGGGCTACACAGAGCCATCTGTTCCCCCACTCACCTAACAGGAACTGCCCAGATACACACCCCACAATCTTACCTTCAGCCCCAGCACTGAGGCCCATCCCACACCCTAACTCCTCCCAGACCCCACACCCCAACCCTGAGACCTCTCCTGCACCCTAGGTCCTATCCAGACCCCACACACCCACCTCAACCACCTGCTCTGCTCCCACACTCTAAACCTTGGCCTCAGCCTGGAGCCCCTCCTGTACCCCTCAGCCCCAGTTCCACCCCAGAGTCTGCACCCCGAGCCAGATCCCTCATCCCCCCAACCCTGAATCATCTCCTACACTCCGAATCCCCCAGCCCCACCTCTGCCACAGATCATCCATGTGCAGAATTAATTTTGTTGTGTGAACCAATATGGAAGTGATCTGTCACATATCATCTCCATATTGGTGCACATAACAAAATTAATTCCACACATGGACACAAAAAATTAGAGGGAGAGCTGGCTGCAAAAATAAAAATGGGGAAGGGAGTTGTTTGTGTCTGTTAGTTTGCTTGCTTGTTTGTAACAAATAAAACTATCCAAAGTTATAGCCTAAAATCACTAGTGGGTTTCAAAAGTGTTGTGGGTGATGGGGAACAAAGAGATATTCAACGTATTGATTCCTACCAGACAATTGTTTCTACATCTGGCGCTCTCTGAGTTCTAAAGTGACCGTTAGCACTTTCCTACCTCAAGGTAGCTCCAGGAGCCTCCGGTGTGGTAGGCAAGTTTTGAAGGATAATATAGGGACACAGAGAGGGAGAATCTCAGTTTCTTTCCTTGTACTCCCCCATTTGCCAGTATTGTAATGGGGTATGCAGGGCCCACACTGGCTGGGAAGAGGTTATTGAGAGCCTGTGAGCTCAATAAGCAACAACCCATAACATGAGCTGTCAAGTCTGCAGGGATGAGATAAGAGAGGAAATCCTAGCTTAGTTTCTGTTGTGAATACTAAGATGAGCAGGCCTATATCTGGCACAACTAGACAAAAGGGGACTCTGAACCCAGGCCACAACTGCATTCTTCGGACACTGAATGAAGAAAGAAAAAAAAAAGATTGGAGCAAAAAATAAAGGCTAATATCAGGAAACCAAAAGGGGACACCAATCAGAGAACCCCAGAGGCGCCCAATGCTCCTCAAAGGCATCTAAGGAGTCTATGTATTGCCCAAAGGAACTCTGCTTGACAGCAACTATAAGAGAGACTGGAAATAGGCCCCCACAGTCATAGAACACAAGAACTTGTCCAGATTCTGTCTCCTGGTGTGATGAATGGCCAGCTTGGCCAGCACCAGGAGAAAACTGACAAAGAGATCTCAGCTTTCTGAGGCCACAGGCCAACTTAGTAGTGGCTAACTAGAAGGTATGGATTAAATGTACTAGCCTCTTAAAGAGAGGCCAGCTGGGCACAGCGGAAAACTACTACGAGCCAGAGTCTCCTTGGGGCAAGTAAGCCTGGTATGGGGCTTTTGCCTTTGCTTTGATCCCTGTAACTAATTTACTCTACTTTTGGTATCTGAGGACAAGCTGAGGTAGGAAGTAACCCATGTACATAGCAGAAAGTCTGAATAATCATACTTTAGCTAGCTTATTTCAGGGTCCCTAGACTACTTCCTCTACTGACCCACTGAGGACATTGGTGTGGAGATCACTGGACACGAGGGCAGGAAGGCCAATAAGTGTGAAATTGGGCTAAAGATTTGTCAGGAAGCTACTAGATTATTGTTATACTGGACTTGTTTTCCCTGGAAATGGGGGGGACTATAAGCGACCTGGCCAGAGGACAGCTTGGTACACATGCTGCACTATAAGATAATAATCTAAGTGAAGGACTCTGCTGTAAATAACCCTACATTGGGAATGTTGCTCAGCAGCTGACAACCAGAAACCCATGCTTAGAAAGAGGAAGAGGAGCCAAGATGAAAGGGGACAAAGTTATTCACCTAATTTAAAACCACGTTATACAGCAGCATTTCATGCAAAAACTTTCCCCAAAGTTCAATGTACTTACAAAGCCACGGGTGTACTGGTTCAGCCTATCAACTGTCGCTGCCTTGGCTAGCTCTTCTTTAACATAGCTAGGAGGGGATATATCTGGAAGGCCTTGACCAAGATTAACAATTGAGGGGTCTGCAGCCACCTTAGTAAATTCAACCCTAGGGAAAAATGTGTTAAATTTTTACCAATAACATGATCCTGCTCCTTTGTCATACTTAATGTTAAAGATAAAAGCAATAGGCCTCTATTAAAGGAAGCAGCATGGGGGGGCTTATTGGGTAGTCAACTACTTGACTACTCACTTACATCCCTATTAGGAACCCCAAATGTGGGCAGAACCACTCGGGGAGATGGTGTGTCCAGACCATATCTCCTGAACAGCCTGCATTGTCAGCACTCATAGGGGAGCCTGTAGACAAAAACTGCCCACCCCCAGCTTGCTTCCTGGAGTAGGACAGCAATGAAACAATATCCCAGGGTGAACCCCGCACACACTCAGGACATAGTGGATCTTGCTGGAAAAGGCAGGTGCAGTTACTGGGGTGAATCTAGTCTAACAGATTACCGAGTTTCACAGCATCATCCAGTCATTTCACTGAACTCTATAAACATTCCTAGTCACACCAGTCTTTGAAACATTCCTAGTCATACCATTCTATAGACATATGGTTCTCAACTGGTGATTCATGGTGACTTTTTCGGTGGTCCACAGGAACATTGTCCAAAGTCACACAGTGTGAGCAGGCGCTGCCGTTAGGCTGTTTTACGCCATGTTCACAAGCACGCGGCGCATCATCCATAGCGTCACCTAGGATGTAACCGCATTGTGTTGCCAGTAACTTCCATCTGAGGCTCTGAGCATCAGTGTAGCTGCTGCTGTCGTGCTGAGCTGTTGCTGTGTCATTCGTCTTGTGCTACATGTGCTGTTTTACAGATGTGGTGTAGTTTGTTTATAATGGCAACAACAGGAAGAAATGTCAAGCTCAAGTATTCGGAGGACTACATCAAATTTGGCTTCACTTGTCAAGAAAAAGAAGGCGTGGATTTGCCACAATGTGTTATTTGTTGCAAAGTCTTGGGGAATGACTCAATGAAGCCAGCACTTCAAGTACCACTCCAAACATTGAAAAGCTTGTCAGTGAGAAGAGAATCCAACAATCTGTTAGTAAAAAGTAAATTTCAAACCAAAATGTTTGTTGTCTGCTCTTTTTTATCATGTCTCAGAAAGGAGGTGGTCCACGAAAATGTTTTGATTGGCCTGCTGGTCCGTGGACTGAAATGAGTTCAGAATCACTGCTATAGTGATTTCATAGTTTGATAGTTGTTCCTTTAATCCTACCAAAAGCTAACTATAGCATCTTTAAACTGCAATTTGTTCTTCTCTTATGTGTGCTCTTTCCTTCTGCCCTTCTCTCACCAGCCAAATGTTAACCAGATAAAAACTGTGATTACAATTTCACAGACACAGACATCAATTACAGAGACTGCTGTGATGGGTCTGAGACAGAATGGTCACTTTCAAGAGGGCAGTAAGTGCATTTAAATAATCTGTCCAACCCCTTGGGTAATGTTACAAACTAATGAAATTCCGCTAATTGGCAATGACACATTGACTGATCCACTGAGGCTATTTTGAGACCAATGTAAGTTCTGGATAAAAACAATAAAATATAGTAAGTTAATTTCTATAGTGACAGGTTCAAGATGGTTAAATTAAACAGGTATAAATTAATTAAGCTAAATTGTTCAACAAAACTATAAATCTGTAGGTGCGACTATATCTGAGAATCAAACCACCTGAAACTATGAGTGCTGGGGGGTGCTGCTGTTAGCCCTGGCTTGAAGTGATCTCCATTATATACAGGGTTTACAGTTTGGTACAACAGTTTCCAGCATCCCCCTATACAAACTGTTCTAGCATCCCTGCTGTGAATTAACTTTGTTTTACATTGGTTCATTCTGCACTGCAGAATTCAAACTTAGTCACAGCTTATGACCTTGTATTGGCTTAATTCACACCTTCACCACCATATTTGATCCACTGAATCTACCTTTTAGGCATACGTGTGGCTACAATTCAACATCAAGGCTAACAAGAGATACATACTTCTGAGATGCTGGATACATAATCAGATTAGAAAAGATAACACACTAGCTGACTTTTAGAATTCTGCATATATTTTAATATGTCACTTACCACACATTGACATCGAGCCCTTCAATTCGTTTTGTGTTTTTGTGCTTGAAGGCCATTGTCTACGAGATCAAAATACATAGACAAAGGAGTTTTGTTAAGAATGACAACGTCTTATATTGTTAGACATTGTAACACTGAATGAAAACTCCGATATGCTCTTCCAAAGACACCATAACTGAACAAATTCAAGAATATAATGCTACTGATATTATAAAAGTCTTAATGGATGATAATAGTTTGATTTTAGTGTAACCTGAAAATAACCGAAATGCCTTACATTATCAATTACCCCTCACAAACTCACTGAAGTCAGGGAAAGGATAGAGATCACAGCAGAATTCAGTGCAACAGCTTTTGCTAGTTACCTACAACAGGGAAAAAATGGTTTGTACACTTTTTGAAAAACATCTATATTTTCTACTCAATTTTCTCTAGAGAAATCTATGGGTAAGTTCAGAACAGATAGGATTATGACATCGGAGATATAAGTTCAGAACAGATAGGATTATGACATCAGAGATACCATGGAAATCAAACATTATTCTGTTCTACACAGTTTCTTCCACTATGTTGATCTCCAGAGTATCTGAGCACTTTCTGGTAGTGAACTAAGCAGACATCTGTTGTGGTTTCCTCTCTCCTTCTTCCCTTTCCTCCCCCGCAGAGAAGTGAGTGCAGTGGAGCTTCTTGTTCTGGCAGTTTATGTACACGTTATATAATGTTGCTATGTGTTTGTTAAAAAAGGCAAGATCAAAGAAATGGACCTTGCAAGTAAAGCAGTTTGCGACAGTCATTAAGATTCATTGAAAGGATTTTTATTCAGAACTACTAAAAACATTTTAAACGCGCAGGAGAAAACATTTTTGTTATAAATTCAACACACGCCCTTCAATTAAGGACTGAGAAAATTCACATATAGTAGATCTCCAAGGACCCCCAATAAAACCAGGGATAACCAGACCCAATAATCATGGTATCTTTAAAGTTTACAAAACAAAAAAACAAATCCTAAAAGAGGGAGAGAGTAAGAAAAACTTCCTTGCAGTTAGCACAGGGGGGCATGACAGCTGTTTCTATGCAGTGCCAGGACCCCACATCCTAGTGATCCCCAAAGCTGCATCCTTGGGAGTGGGGTTCCATGGGGGGCAGGGCGATGGTGGGAAGGAGCAGGGTTTGAGGGCAGGTAACAGACAGCCCCACCCTCCTTGGTCCACGGGGAGTCCCTAGCCAAACTGAGCAATTACTCCAGCCAGGGATGGCCTACGAGCTGGGGGTTTGAGACCTCTGGTCCAAGAGACTGTCCACAAACAAAAAAATTCCCCGTTTAGCTAAACAGAAAGGAAACAAGGGATGTTGCGTGTTTAAAAGGAAAAAGCTTATTTGACATTTCAAATGCTTTAACTGTTTTTCATTCTTTCTGTATCTTTAATAAAGCCTTATAAAGATTTGTAATGGTGTGTGTGTCATGGCACTGTACTAAGCAGGCTGAGGGTTTTTTATGCCAAACCCTGACCCTTGTTTAAAAATGCTTAATGTTGGATAATATCTGGGTCAGGTTAACACCTTTGGCCCATTTATTCCACCTAATTAAACACCAGCAGGCCTCAGTCCTGCAAACATACACATACTCAACATTATTATTAGTGTGTGTCGTACCCACTGGTTTTGTTTGGACTGTTTGTGCTAGTATAGTTAAGCATATGTTGCAGGTGTTTTCAGAATAGAGGCCTATGATGTCAAATCACTTCTTTCATTCTATTTTTATTGCATGGGCAAAATTCTAATCTCAGACATATGGCATGAATTTCATCAGCATAGTACAGGTCCCATTTATTCCAACAAGACATCAAATCTGTTTTGGAGTAGTTGGCAAGAAAATGTGGGATTCTTGCCAAGAGATATATCCAAATTGCAGTTAAGTGGTAGTTTTGGTTAAATATGGGTTTCCTATATTAAACTTGCATATGCAGGTGCCTGTGCCTAAAAGAGTCCTCAAACTTTGCATTGAAGAGCACAATGCAGACTGAGATTAGTGTTTGGCCATAATACACTCCTGTACAGTAATAATATGGATTATTTTATTATGCATATTTCAAATAAGCACGTTTAGCAGCTTTCACATGGTAGGTTCCTTTTTTTACTACGTAGAGCTGAGAAGTCTAGCCCTGAATCTCTCTAGTTAGTATACAGGATCTGTGTGGTCCAGCAGGAAGCTCACTGTATTGATTAACTCTTTAAATCACTTCAATTAGCTAACCACAACAGGCAGATCAATAGCAGGACTGTTATGACTGAATCAGAGTAAGCTTAAACTGTAATAAATATTTCTCTCCTGGCTGAAATCTTACTGAGAACTAAAAGAAGCCTTTGCCTGTTACAGCTTTCCTACCACAGAACATATTATGTTCAACTGATAATAGCTAGGGCTTCCCCCTCTGTGTACCTTCATCTTTGTTTTGATTCTGATGTCATAAAATGGAATTGCTGACCCTGTATTAGCTCTCAAAGACCTTAGCTCAGTTTGGGTTCTAGTGTTGCTTACTTCAAAAAAACTAAGCGATGAATTGAAATTACTAAAATGAAGTAGGATTAAGGACAGAACTTACTTAAGCAGTGTTGTTTTTTTCTCCCTGGAAGAGTGTCCTCATGCTAGGGAGAATGCTGAGGATTTCCTTATTTTATACCATATGACACACTTTCAATTACATCATTGCTTCTACCGACCTTCAAGCTAGGGAATGGAAATGATTTATCTAAGGTGAAATGCCAGCAGAATCATAATTCGCCCTAAGAGAATCAGGGCAACTAAAATTATTAGGGTTTTGGAACAGGTCCCATATGAGGAGAGATTAAAGAGACTAGGACTTTGCAGCTTGGAAAAGAGGAGACTAAGGGGGGGATATGATAGAGGTCTATAAAATCATGAGTTGTGTGGAGAAAGTGAATAATAAAAGTTATTTACTTGTTCCCATAATACAAGAACTAGGGGCCACCAAATGAAACTAATGGGCACCAGATTTAAAACAAATAAAAGGAAGTTCTTCTTCACACAGCGCATAGTCAATCTGTGGAACTCCTTGCCTGAGGGGGTTGTGAAGGCTAGGACTAGAAGAGGGTTTAAAAGAGAACTAGATAAATTCATGGAGGTTAAGTCCATTAATGGCTATTAGCCAGTATGGGTAAGGAATGGTGTCCCCAGCCTCTGTTTGTCAGAGGATGGAGATGGATGGCAGGAGAGAGATCACTTGATCAGTACCTGTTCAGTTCACTCCCTTTGGGACACCTGGTATTAGCCACTGTCGTCAGACAGGGTACTGGGCTAGATGGACCTTTGGTCTGACCCAGTATGGCCATTCTTATGTTCTTAGTGTGAAACAACACAAGGTATTCCCCATTCAACATCTAAATGTATGGTCTCCAAGCACTTTCAGCCCATTAGCAATAAAAGGAGATGAATAAGAGGGAATGAGACAGAGAAGATGCTCCTATTTATCCTTTCTTGCAATAGAAGTACAAGAAGACATCCAGTGAAAGTGAAAAGTAATATGTTCAATACTGATAAAAGGAATTACTTTCACACAATACATATGTAACCTGTGGAATTCAGTGCCATGAATGATTATGGATGCCAAGAGTTTAACAAGATTCAAAAAAAGGATTAGACATTCTGAGTGTGCCTATTGTACTGGGCTGTTGGGCAGATGCCTGCCATCCCCTGGTTTGTGAATATCGGGGTTTAGGCAGGAGATGGGCATCCAGACACCTAAGCAAGGTAGCAATGCATATACAGTACTCAGAAATGGTAACTCAGACACCTACAGAACTTCTACAGTAAAAATATAGGGACCTACATGGTAGGTACCTACAAGGTTAGGTGACAGTACTGAGTTTCAGTGGTCTAAAATTGTGGATCTGGGCCAGAGAAACTGATTTACCCAAAGTCACACACAAAATCTATGGCACAGGAGATAAGTGAACACATCACCCCAGAGTCCCAGGTTAGCCCTAACCACAATACCATCTTTCCCCCCTCGGGTCCATTAATACTATCTTTAAAGCATGAAATCAAAATGTAGAGCAAGAACCCCCTGGTATTATCATGCTAGTGTGGTTTAACATCTGATTGATTTGCACAATAATTTATTGCCATTTTCATATTAGTGTCTGGGATTAAGGCAACAATAAATGAATAAAATGTAACTGCAGAAAACATAATGCTTTGCGGACTTCCTCACAGTAGGCATCCAATCCAATATATGCTTCCTAGCAGCATCACAAAATAAGTACACCTCTAAAATAAATACTGTGTGACTTACATATAGTGTAATCTATGAATTGATGGAATACATACCGCAGAGGTCGAAAATCTGAAGAATCTTACAGGATGAACTATCTTCAGTAGCTTTGTCCTAATGCCAAGGCAGCAGAGGCTTTGTAGAGCAAAAAACATGCCTGCACAATAATTCATAAGATTCCTTTTTTAAAAAAAGCATAAACCTTTATCAAGTATTTACAGATACAAGACCAGACATGTACATTTCGTATACAAAGTTAAGCAATTTTAGAGCCTGGGATTTTTCGTCTTCTCTCACCTCTCCCCATACCAACCATAACAGATCATTTCCTTATCACACGTTAATATAAGGATGAAACTTGTTAAATCGTAATTTGCAAGACATTTTTAATATCAGGCAAAAAGAAGTTTTAATCTATTTAACAGATCTGAATTAAATGGATCAAGAGATGGATGAAAATAGAACAAAAACGAAACTCTAAATCCAAAATCTAGACACCTACGGGATTACTAATGGGATATGGAAACTTGTCTTTAATCCATTACTTCACATCCAGCCAGATCAGTAACATCTGAAAATTATCAACATCTGATGGCTCTTCAGTAGAGGATTTAAAACAAGTTGGTGGTTTCAGATGGATTTTTTATGTAGAAGTTCTCACATAAACAAATAAAAAGAAAATCACTGTCACAGTTGGTAGTGAGCACCTGCGAAAACTATTAAGGGGACTTATTTTAAAGTACTTATCAGGGATGTAAGCGACAAGTCGAGTAGTTAATTGCCTCCTGCCCCTCCCCCCATCAGAGAGAGGCAGCAAAAGAGCGGAGCAGGAGCCAGTACTGGGGGAAGCTGGCTTAAAAGCCAGTTCTCTCCAACACCATCTCTGCGGGAGCTGGGGACCAGGTGCAAGCCAGGAATCAGCTGATTCCCAGCTCACACCCAGTCCCAGAAGCTGCACCTCTGCTTTTTGAAAGTATTAAAAGGTGCCAGGCTCCTAATACATTTAAAAGGCAGAGGAGCAATGGGCTATGTATTATTTAGATCTTTTTACAAAAAAGTAACTATAAAGTTTAAACTGCTTTGGCAACATCAAATTCATAAGAGCAAAAAATAATACACCCATAGAAGATATTTTGTATGGAGTAACAGATGATTT